AAAGGTGATCCAAATTCTACACTGTGGTTGGCTACAAAGTGGGCAAGATGCTGCTATCTTGCCCACTGAGAACAATCCACTTTGTCCTGCAAGAAAAATTTAACTGAAAGCCATGTAATGAATCCTTGTTTGGTCAAGATGGCTGGATATTGGCCTTGTTCTTTTTTGGGGAGTTTAAGGACCTTACACTTGCCTAAATCTATAAAAACGCAAAAAAAAAAAGAACTTGACCAATATCCAGCCATTTTGACCTCAGGCTTTGTCAATAACCCATGTATATTCCTTAACTTAAATAAAATAAGCTACATATGTCATTTGATCTTTAATCATCTGGATTATATCCACCTGGTTTGCCGCCAGTAGGTCTAGGGCTTGGTGAAAAGGTGCTGGCTACTTCTTCGTCGTCATTTACTTCAAGAGTCTCATCATATGGTTGATTAACGACAAGCTGCAAATTATATATTGTGAGATCAAAAGGCATTGTTACAAAAATATTGGTAAACACCTCACTGTAACAGCTTTCACGAAAAGTTTTACCACTGCAACACAGACTACAAAATGCAACTCATGATCTTTGATGCAGTTACATGGGAAGTCTGAAAAGCAAAGTTGATGATAAGCTCCTGGCTAAAGAAAACCTTTACCACCCTCCTATGTACATGTACATGCTCAATAATTAAAAGTGGACAATTTTAAATTTGTTGCTGTGGGAAAGAGTATACGATACTGTGGCTAACGAATATGGCCAAGTTGTCACGAATTTACTTTAAATTTACTTTGAATTTTGTTTTAAAACAGTTTGAGTAAGCAACCAGATTAATTACATTATGTGCTAAACACAGACATGTACAGTTCAGAGGCGGCAACAGCCTGCTGTCAGACCTGTATTTACAATTGAAATCCAAGACGAGCCCGCATGCATTTCATACAGAAACCTTCAAAATTTTTGCTAACACTTGCGAACAAAAGGATGATCATCTGATATCCCGAGAAAAATTATCAAACGTTTCGCTTGTATCCAAGGACAACGAAATATGATCTCGACTCAGATAACGCATTTCGACTTCGCTGATACGATTCGAACTTGTAAGGTGCCATTCCTTGACCAAAATGTTTCAAAGTAACATTAAAAAGATTAAAGATCATTTTAAAGCTTTGAAACATCATAATTTAGAGAGAAAATCGTTAAATACTGCTCAGTTTACCTTTCTTCGCTCGTCATCGGAGTCAGCCATGAACGAAACAACCCACCAGGTGTACAACTTACATGACGTCCTTAGTAAAACTCTGCCTCATTCCCAGGCTCTAACGATCAACGACAGTCCAGAGCCTCCACTGCGCGCGGATAAAGTGCACTCGGCTAGCTACAGAAACCGGGATAAACTCCGGTTTTATGAAGTACTTGGTCCGCCTCAGAGTTTTTTTTATATGTTTACATCGGTAGTTCGCTGAACTCTACAATAACTACAACGAAAGGTTCCTTCTCTCCAAATGCTGAAAAGGCTTAACCAGGTCAGAAGCCAGGTTCCTGGTGTGGCAGAATGCTGGCCGGATGAAAGTAAAAGGAGGCGGGAAGCGGTCGAAAAATACTTTGGCGGGGTGGGATTCAATTGCTTATTTCGACAGGTGATATGCGGGGTAGTTTTAAAAGTAAAAGCAGGAAACGGGATGGAAAACATGAAAATTGAACGTTACGCGGACAACTGCAACTCTAATGAGGCGGGATCGGGATATACATTTTGAGTGGAGCGGGATGGCGGGATTGAGTAAAATAGTGGCGGGATGCGGGATTGAAAACCCTCATAGGTAGGGTGAGAGGCATGCTAATGTACATCCCCTGGGTCTCCATGCTGGGAGTTGTATGGGGTTAATCACCCCAACCTGTGAAAAATATCATATTGGAAACTAACTCAGTCTTAAAAAAAGAGAAAAAGGCTTGACTATTTATTTTTGTGTTTTATTTATTATTTATGCTTTTTATTTCGTTTACAGAAGCAAACTTTGGCAAATGTTAAAATCCTGGAATTAATATTTAGCCTTT